CCATAAAATACTTTTGAAAAAAAGGGCTACCAATTATATATGCTATTGAGAAACATAGACCAAATATCTCAATTGCGTGATGAGACAAGACTAATCGTTGAAGAGCTATGAAATAATGTTATCAGTGCAATTGTGGTTTCGAAAAAAACGAGTTGAGAAAAAGGTTTACATACCTAGAATGAATTTTGTACCATCTGATCCACGATTACTCTTAAAGTTCTAGAAAAGACAATTTCCAATGTTTTATGTTTTGCTATGACTTTTAACAAAGTCAAACATTATCATTTGTTTGATTATTTTTAATCAATTCGGTGTTCACTTATATTCAACTTTGCGGTGATGTTTCACGAGTAAAAAGAAAGACAAAATTAAAAATATTAGTTCTAGATGATATGGAAAATCCTTGCAACTACATAAAAATTGTTGTATACCCAAAAGTCTTTCAAAAATATAGATTTAGAAAATCTTTGAGATGTTCACTTTTAATACTAAATTATTTATTTTATTTTTTAATGTCTTAGTAATAAACATATTATACATTTTTTATTAATTCAATTTAAAATATTGCATTGAAGTTAATTTTTAGAAGTGTCAAAAATTTTGTCCAACCCCGTGCGTTGCACGGGTTAAAATACTAGCATCCTATAACTAATAGCTAAAATGATAAGAAATATAAATACAAAAAATCACCCAAATCAATATCAGCGCACAGAATAAGAAACTAGCAGTCATGGATGTGTAGATTGATGGTCTGCTCTGTAATGTTCCTGCGAGCATCAAAAAGCCAAAAAATCTGCTCTGGATCTCGACCTTTCTGTTCTCCACTTCGCTTCATCATCTACACCAATTGTTCTTTTTTATATCCTCTTCCTTATTGTATATAAATAAATGTTTTTTATTAAAGTATTGAAGTTTCTCCATAAATAAACGTTGAAGCTTCTATTTTCAGCTCAAGAAATAAATAATTTCTTGATTAAAGTATTGAATAGTTGAACCTCTCCTTATTTTCAGATTTATAGTCTGCTGTTTTTAAACATATTTTATGGTGTTGAGTTCAGTTTTTATAGTCTCTTGAAGTTTCTCCAGTCCCTAACTATTGAAAAAACAAATCACACTATAGTGTGTAATTATGGTACTCATAGCCTATAACAAATAGCTGAAATTGTAAGAAATATAAATAAAAAATCACCCAAAAGCCACCAGTCATGCATGTGTAGATTGATGGTCTACTCTGTGATGTTCTTACGAGTAGCGAAAAGGTAACAAATCTGCTCTGGATCTTGACCTTTTTGTTCACCACTTCTCCTCATCATCTCCTCCAATTCTTCTTTTTATATCTTTCTCCTTATTGTATATAAATAAATGTTTTTATTAAAGTATTGAAGTTTCTCCATTAATAAACATTGAAGCTTCTATTTTCAGCACGATAAATAAATGATTTCTTGATTAAAGTATTGAATAGTTGAACTTGTCCTTATTTTCAGTCTACTATTTTTTGAACATATTTTATGGTGTTGAGTGCGTTTTTATAGGCTCTTCAAGTTTCTCCAGTCACTAAGTATTGAAAAAATAAATCATACCATAGTCTATAATTAGGGTACACATATCCTATAACAAATAGCTGAAATTGAAAGGAATATAAATAAATAAATCACCCAAATCAATATCAGCAGACAGAATAAGAAGCCGACAATCATGGATGTGTAGATTGATGGTCTGCTCAGTGATGTTCCTGCGAGCAACGAAAAGGCAACAATTCAATATTTTCAGATTTATAGTCTTATGTTTTTTGAACATATTTTATGGTTGAGGAGTTGAACTATAATAAATATAAGTTGTCGTTTGATCTTATGGGATACTTATCTATGTTAAATGAAGATCAGCGGAAGATATACGATGAAATGATGGAAGTTGTGACTGTTGGAAGAGGAGGATTCTTTTTTGTATATGGTTAGGGTGGATCTGGAAAAACATTTCTATGAAAATCATTGTCTGCTTCTTTGAGATCAAATGGTAAGGTTGTCTTGAATGTCGCATCCAGTGGGATTACAACATTGCTTTTGCCTGGGGGGAGGACAACACACTCGAGATTTTAAATTCCTTTGGCGCTAACTGAGTGCTCAACGTGTGCAATCAAACAAGGGAGCCCGAAAGCAGCACTAATCTGTTGGAACACACTTTGCACGTTTAACTAAAGTCGTGTTCATTTCTGACAGGTTTTGATAATTTCCAAACCGCCGTGGATATGAAGAGTTTCGTTCAATAACTCAAGGCGTGAAGAATGACATGGAACAAGACCTAAAAGACTCAAGGACAAAGATCAAGAATTGAAGACTTAGTCGAGTCGGTCTTTTGTGATCAAAACCGACAATCAATTCAAGTCTCGGTTCTCAAAGAGTCAAAATAATTTTACAAAATCATAAAATATTTTTGTGCATCAAAATAAACATTTTTGATAAATTTTTATTGTTAAAATCCTTGGTCCTTGCTCAGAACCAAAATTACCTAAGTCGGCGTACGGTGTTCGGCATTCGGTTTTTTGGCGCCCGAACCAACTCGGTGGTTTTCTATGTTTTAAACCTTGTTTTTATCTCTGAGCATATTTAAAAGGTTCCCAAATAATTATTTCATAAAAACCACTTTTGTATCTTGGTCAATCGGTCTAACACGTGAGAAACGGTCAAAACCGTACACACGTGATTTACGACCTTGGAGACTTGGTTTTTACCAAACAAGTCTTGGTTTCACTATTTTATACCATATACAATGTTTTTCAAACTTGGTTTTTACTTTTGGGAACACTTTGTTTTTGGACCTCGGTTTTTCAAAACGGGTTTTAGCTGGCCTGACTTTAGCTGGGTGATAATCGATTATCACCTTAGTGACAATCGACTATCATCCTCTGCAGCTTTGAACTTCCAAAGTTCTGAAGCTCTCAATAATCGATTGTCACTTATGCAACAATCGATTATCAGTCTTTGCAGCCAAAACCCAGAATCTTCTGAGAGGACCAATAATCGATTATCACTTGTTGACAATCGATTATCTGGGTTACCGTTATCCTCCAACGGATAGAATTTTAAATTTTTGGACAGGGAATCTTTTGATAATCGATTATCAATCTTGGATAATCGACTATCACCCTGTGTCTCTGAAAAATTTGTCTTCATCCTGTTGGAAATTCTAGCAACGGATTTATCCCATTTTTGGGCTATAAAATGGCACCCAAATCCTCTCATTTTACACACAATTCTTCAACATTTCAATACTCTTTCATTGCTGATAAGTTCATTTTGTTCTTATTTTATTCTACATATTTTAAGCGTTATTGCACGAAAATAGTGATAAGCAGTGCATAATTTTATGTTAAATTGAGCAATATCTTTGATTTGTTCTTTAAGGAATAATAATTGGCTTAAAATTTGTCCAGTCTTGATTGTTGATTTTTCTACTTATATTTGAAAGAAAAAGAAGTTTTTAAACTAAGAATTTTATCATGAGAATATCGGAGGAAGCTGAAACAGACTGCGAAGCAAAGTAAAAATTGAAATTGGGCCTGAATTGGATCAAGCCGCGGAGAAAGCCCACAGGAGAAGGCCCGAAGCATCCAACCTTAGACGCTTTGCGGGTTGGACGCTTCCCCTTGGACGCTTGGCGATGATTGGGCATCACGAAAGACACGTGGCGAGCACCAAATGGACGGGCCGCGTAAGGCGTCCAACTTTGGACGCTTTGGATCCGGACGGCTGGGGGTTGGACGCTTCGCATCTAATCCTATTAATTCAGCACTCCCCCTCTCCGATTTCACACGCTGCACAGCGCCTCTTCTCCCCCAAAAAGTCCGAATTTCTCCTCTTTTAGTCTAGATATTGCAAGCCACTCTCATATTTTATATTAGTATTATTATTTGGAGTTTTCATGGAGCAAATTGTAGCCCAGACCTCCCGTTCTTCAGACCTCCCGTTCTTCAGATCTGTTAAAGTAAGTTTTGTTCTACTTTTTACTATTAGCTGAAATATGCCTTCTTATGATGCATGTGTGTTGGAAGTTTTCATTATGAGTAGCTAAATCATTTAGGAATGTGATTGTTGGAATGGAGATGGTAATTTTCTGAGAAAATCAATGAGTTGAATTATAAAAGGCAATTTACTAGTTTTTATTACTGAGAATTTATACTTGAGATTTGTAAATCGAGAGAAGGCAAATCTATTCTTGAAAATTATATTTCTTGAGAAATCTGGAATTTAATTAAGTTAAGTCCAGTAATTTGATAATTGATCTTTAGACATTAGATTGATTGTTAAGTAAATATTTGAAAAGATGTTTACTTACTAGTAAAAAGATTTAAGGTAAAAGTAACCAGTGATTTTACTCTAAAAAGAACCATCACCTCGCCAATAATTACATCCCTACTTTTTATACCCTGAAAGGTAAAAGTTCAATCTCCACTCTTTATTCGACTTTTTGAAAACTTTTCGATTCAACGAGTAAATCTTGTCTAGCTAGTCTTGCTAAACTTTCCCTTGGGCCGATCCTTGAGACGACACGGGATAAACTGATCATTTAAAGGTCTAGTCTGTTCCCTTTACTACTACGGGGATTTTGAGTTAAACCAAAATTCTTCACCAAATGGCGCCGTTGCCGGGGATCGGCGCAGAAAGTTATTAGTGAGATTTCTTTTAGTTAGCCTGAAAGAGAGTTGATAGAAACGATTTTCATATTATAAAAAACATAAAAAGAAATAATAATAATAAAAAAAAATTCTTATAAAATAATAAAAAAAATTTCAAATAGATTTAGTTTAAAATATCTGCAAGCTTAATTTGTTAAACTTTTGCCGTTTATTAAAAAGCTTTTCTTAGTGCAACTTTTATTTTCTTAAAAAAATATTATATATATATATATATATATGTATATGTATATGTATATGTATATATATATATATATATTATTTGCCTCTGTTTAGTTATCATTAGGTAGTTATTTAGGATTCTTCTTCTAGCCTTCAAAATTGTATGAACACTCGTTCTCGCGGTGAGAACATTCTTCCGGGAACCAAAAACCCCGAACTTTTGCTCCGACGTCGCACCGTTAAAATCCCCCGTCAACTGGAGTTCAACGACGAAGAGCAAAGAGAAGAAGAAGAAGAGGAAGCAAGTCACGAAGAAGAGAGATGTTTGAACGATTCTCCAAAATTGTCAATGATCTCCATGCTCTCAAGAAGACGTACACGGACAAGGAGCTTGTGAGAAAAATACTGCGAAGTCTCACACCGGAGTGGCGCTCCAAAGCCGATGCCATCCAAGAGTCCATTGGTATCACCAACGTCACCATTGACGGGCTTAGAGGTAACCTCAAAACCTATGAGTCTACCATTTTATTCCCCTCTTTAGGTGAACAAAAGAAGAAGGGGATTGCACTCAAGGCTTCCTCAAGCCAAGAACCCGCCATGGAGGAATCAAGCGATGAAGACAACGAGTTTGGGCTCGTTATCAAAAAATTCCACAAGTTCATGCGCAAGGAGTATGAACGAAAGGGTAAAAAGCATGGAGGACCACCCAAGTGCTATGGGTGTGGAGAAGTTGGGCATATCAAGCCAAAATGCCCAAATGCCAAAAACGAGAAGGAGAAGAAACCGTTCAAGAAGCACCGAGCTTACATCTCGTGGGGAGGTGATTCCGGAGACGAATCATCGGAAGGCGAAGAAAATGAAAGTGCCAACCTTTGCCTCATGGCACACGAGGAACCACCGGAAGAGGTATGTACCACTTCTAAAGATTCCCATACTTTAGATGATGTACAAGAAGCTTTTAATGAACTCTATGATGAATATGTCAATGCTTCTAAAATTAACAAGGATTTAAAGAAACAACTTACTTCCATGGAGAAGGAGGTTGATAAATTATCAAAAGATAATGAAAAACTTAAAGNATGGCACACGAGGAACCACCGGAAGAGGTATGTACCACTTCTAAAGATTCCCATACTTTAGATGATGTACAAGAAGCTTTTAATGAACTCTATGATGAATATGTCAATGCTTCTAAAATTAACAAGGATTTAAAGAAACAACTTACTTCCATGGAGAAGGAGGTTGATAAATTATCAAAAGATAATGAAAAACTTAAAGAAGAAAATAAGTTTTTCGGAAAAAGAAGCGCTGTTAGGGTTGAACCGGGGGTCTTATCAAGTTGTTATTTTTGGAGATGGAACTGTGGAATAATGAAGGGGAAATGGGCTGGATGAAAATATGGGAATGTGAAGGAGTTCTTTTTGGGCTTTGATATTATGAAGAAGAGTGGAAAATCAGGGGTGAAGGACGGGTTTAGAAAGGATGGGATAAATTCCAAATAAGGAATAAGAGATAAACACACTCTTATCTTAATTTGGAGCCAAATTAATACTAAATGATAAGCTCACCTCTAGATTAACTTGGGGTTAAACTCTAGTATTTAATCAAGATATTACACACTCAATCAAATAACTAGAACCTAAAACTCACACTTAAGATAACCACTCTTAAGATATAGAATTAGGAATTTGGCTAAAACAGCATCACACTATTTTATGAATACTCAAAGAGTAAAAGGTTTTTCAATATTCAAAGATGTGTTACATTTGGCCATAGGGCCTAATTTATATAGGGAGAGGGGAAGGGGGAAATACATAGTACAAAACATGAGGAAACTTCCTGGAAGCAACTATTTCAAAAACATGGGATAATAACCATTTATTCTTGTCTCCTTAATGGAAAGAAATCAGAGATGGGGGCTGGTTTGTGGGGCTGTTGTTGGGTTATTATTGTGGGCAAGTTATGGTGGAGTGGGCTGCCATTTTGGAGGGTATTGGGTGGGTTGATTCGGCCAGGCAGGGATGGGGAATATAATGTGGGGTTTTGGACTTATAGGATTGGGTTATTTGTAAGGGAATATAGGCAGGAAATGAGTGGCTAGTGGTGGGTCAGGGTTTTGGCTCTTTGTGGGTGTTTTATGTTGGGATTGTGAAGTGTATTTTGGCCAGGGGTGAATGGAATAGAGGAAGGGTTTTATTTGTTGAATAAAAGGTTTAAAAGAAGGAAAATAACAACAAGCAAAAGGTTTTATTTTACACAACCTTATGTTTGGCCAGGGGCTTAAATAAGAGTATGAAAAACTTTATTTTGAAATGAAGTAAATGGCAAGGAGTTTTGGATATTTAGGGTGGATTTGGACATGGTTGGGGCGACCAAGGGGGTTTGAAAACAACAAGGGTGTTGGTTGGTGTTCTTGAATGAAAGAAAGGACTTAAATCAACCCAATAAGGATTATAAAACTTAACCATAAATCCCTTGATTTGTTTGAACACTTGTGGCACGTCCATGAGTTTGGGTAGGGCATGCCCGGATATAACAAGCGCCGACAAACCGGAGAGTTCAAAATGTAGTTCTTGTACATCACTTAAAGAACAAGTTGCAAAACTTGAAGGAACCTTAAAGAAGTTTGGTGTTTCTCATAAAAATCTCAATGATTTTCTTGATAATTTGCAACTTACTAAACATGGCCTAGGTTTTGAAAATGGAACTAATAATAAAGAAAAAGTTGAGCAACCACCTAAACAACCTAAGGCTCAACTTAGGAAAACTAAAACGAACAATAATAGACAACCTACATCAACTAGGAACACTAGACCACTTAGAAAGAACACTAGGATAAACAATGGTCAAGTTAGAGAACCTAGAAACCATTTTCCAAATATGCATAAACAAAATTTTTCTCAAACTAGGGTTAATCCATATAGAAAACCTAGCAACTATTATCAACCTAGGAGAATGCATAATCCAAATGTTATTTGTCATTATTGCAATACGGTAGGACATATAGCCCCGGTTTGTTTCACTAGGCATATTGCACTCAAAACCAATCACACTACCAACGTGCACCTAACGCCCAAGGACCCAAAAGGAATTGGGTACCTAAATCTTTTTAAATTGATTTGTAGGTGTGCTTGAAGGCATCAAGTGTACTTTGGTACCTTGATAGCGGATGCTCCAAGCACATGACCGGAGATGCATCCAAGTTTTTGCAAATCAAACCAACTAAAGGAGGAAACGTTGTCTTTGGCGATAATAGCAAAGGCAAGATAATCGGCATTGGTTCGGTTGGTAAAAACGAAACCTCCTCCATTGATAATGTTTTGTTGGTTAAGGGTCTTAAACACAATCTCTTGAGCATAAGTCAATTGTGTGACAAGGGAAATCGTGTGACCTTCGATTCTAAATCATGTACGGTAGAACGTCTTAGTGACAATAAGACGATTCTTCGTGGTGATAGAATTGATAATATTTACATG